AAAGGAGGGTTCCATTACTTCGAAAGTCACTGAGAGTCCCCGAAAGAGATGATCCTCATACCAAGGAAACGGCCTTTTTTTTGCAATCGTCACACCGGGTCGCTCATGTTTCGAAATTCATTTTACGTGGCTCGAGGCGCCATGGGTCCTCGCTTCAGGGAAGAAGTGCCTTTGTGACCTCGGGACTCTTCCCCTCCGCTCGGAACATCTGCCGGTCGGGCGCTAGCAAGGCGTTTTTTTTAATCGCAGAGACTTTGGCGAAACAGAGCGCGCCTTATGTGTGTCCCCGTAAGTGACTAGAAAAAAGGTGTATAAATCATACCGTTGTCGCGATGCATTCGTGTCTGACTTAATTACCGTTGTTGGAGCAGTGAGTGAACGGTGAGTAAAAATTAATTTCGGGCCGCAAGATTAGACAGGGAGCGCGCTACTGAGCTCGCGCCCGACAATTTTTTCGCGTTCAGATTTCCAGATGACTTTTATCGTAATAATCCTGGACCGAATGAAAATATCTGTTCGGTTGCGGTTCATCAAAATATTTAATAAATATTACGATGCCGTTTAAATTACGGTTTTTTAAACTTGTTTCCTTACTGAAATTTGTATACTGAATTAAATTATATATATATATATATATATATATATATAACGTGTACAATAATATATTATAAAAAATAATAATATCACTTCCTCGGTGTAGACGGCATTTCTTCACTATTTCCATCTTCTGCTTTTTGGATATATAATATTATCCTCGTAATCTCTTCCTAACGGAACATATAGAGAATATTTCACAATGTTCCCGCAATGTTACGGGAAAATATTGCTGCTGTACGGGACGTCTCGAGAACACGACTCGCCGACGCGAGCACGTGCTAGCGGGTCGCGGAACACGTAATACGTTGCTCGTACTACTTACGAATCGCTCGGTGGTCTCTTTCTTTCTTTCGAGTCTCGCGAGCCGTCGTCGTCACCGTTCTTCGAATGTGCACGTATACGGTGGTGAACCCGTGGCCGTCGTTTCGGTCGGTCAGCTTTTCTCGATTCGGTTCTGCCGCGCGCGCTCCGCACCGTCACTAAATACGCCGGCCGATCTCCGTAATGGATGGTTTCCTGAGCAGACGACGCGACAGTGGACATGCGAGCGACGAGGCGGAGGGAGACGGAAGATCGAAAGTGCGAGAAAGAAAGGCAGAGAAGTCTCTTGACCCCGGGGTCTCGAGGAAGGCACGAAAGACTACGTTCGCCGTAGGCGCGTTTTTTCCACGGGATGAGGGAACGCGCGCAACGGTCAAAGATCGCGCCCACACGACGGTGAAATCGTGAAATATCCGCGGAAGGGAAAAAAAGAACACACCCCGCTGGTGTGTATCCATCGCGCGTAGGATCGACGTTTTACATATCGGCGTTCTCTCGCGAAAGGTGCGAAGTCGGACGCGCGCCGAACGAGCAGCGTTGGCGGCGTCGTCGTTCTTGACCTAACAGAACAATGCACGGAATCGGTGAACGATCGCGCGAGATCGTAACTCTTCCCCGATGCGTGCCGAATAAACCGGGGAAATTAATCGAGGTTTATCGGAGCATAAGTGAGTTCCGGCGCGATTACACAGCGTGTAAGTCCCGTTATACAAGCGGCCTTTTTCTTCCTCGCGCGTAAAATATCGAATTTCATCTGTCAAATTATAAAGATTCCTTTTCTACAACGGTGCGCGCAAAATGATCGCGGGAGAAGGAAAGTAGCGGGAGAGTAATTAGAGAAATATCCTGTCGCGAGTCCGCTCACGCGCGGGCGCGGCGCGAGACAAACGCGACGTCTCTCTCCAACGAACGTTCCGGCGCGAGTGGATTCCGGGAAAACAACAGAATGAATTACGAAAACGACGGCGCACGTGCGTCGTTTCCGGCGTCGCGGCGAATCACGACGTATTTCCGCCGTCTTCTCGTCTGCATCGTCGTCGCCTTCTTCGACGTCTCCGACGACGAGGACGAAGAAGACGAAGGCGCAAAGCGAACACGTACTTTTCTGAATTACGTGAATGCATTCACAATGCCCCGAGGCGAGATCGCTGATAAACCGCGTCTCGCGCTACCTGCCGCCGAATCTCACCGAGAAATCTCCAGGAACGAGCAAGCGTGTGCCTGCGTGAAGTAGAATCGAATCGATCGCAGCCGATGGGACGTAACGTGTCTCCTGACGACTGGAGATTTCTTTCTCGCGAAAAACAGATTTTATTTTTTCGAGAAACGATAATCACCTTATCTTTTATTCGCAATGAAAAATGAGTTTGATCCTGCCTGACAACGGGCGATCAAATGCGTTTTAGCACTGAAATTACCACTGAAAATTTATAGTAAATAGTTAACGTATATAAAAAATATTGCCGCAATGTATCTGCAATCTTGTGCCGTATGGGTCCTAGTAAACCAAATGTCTTTTCACTTTCGCGAATACTCTCGCGTCAACGTCGCCGATCCGTCGTGTGACTTCGCTCCCCTTTCATCAGCACCTTGTCCCAAGCGACGGAATCGAAATTAGATCGAGATTGGCTCAGAATGAGCCCACATGTTGCACGAGTGCTGGCTCGATTCCTCGACGTAACGTCGCACAATGAACGATTCATCGCCACGCGCGGTCCGGCCGCGATGTCCCGGGGGACAGAGACGATTCATAGTCCACGGAATAGCGGCGGTACCCCTCGTGGGAAAACGGTCGCTCGCTAGGAAAATCGTCCGAACGGTCAGCTCCTTTCCACATCGTTATCGTGTTCTTAAACTGCAAAATACAAATCAGGTCGATTCGGCGAAAGGAACTCCGCGTGGTAGCTTCGTGGTTCCACCCGCGGGTTTTGTTCCGCGATAAATATGGCCTAGATACGCGTTGTACGACGGCGTGATCTATTTTCGAAATGTTTTGGCCGTCGACACGATGCTTTCCCTCCCTCTCCCGTACGCTCACGGCCAATCGAAACGTATCCGCTGGCGAATCGATAAATCTCGATTCGCTTCGCGAACCGGCGGCGGAGAAGCCGAGGCGCGCCAAATTATTTCCATCGCTAAACAGACCTTTGTTTCCCCGCGAATACGTAACATCGCGGCAGCAATTTATCCCGGTCAGCGCCAAGATGAGACCGACTGCTCCGTATCATTCATATGTTTAATAATATCAGATGATAATCGGTCGACTCGTAGCTTCGACGATAATAATAGATCGCCGGCCGACTTGTCTCGCTCGCTCGCACGAAGCGTAAATCAATTCGACGGCGCGGAAGAAAGGGGCGAGGAATATGCTCGTTTAATCCGGGAATAGTTATCTTATTTTTTTTCTTTTTTTACGATCACCTGGGATCATTTAAATCCCAATTAAAAATCGCTGTTGTTAACAAAATGTAGCGTATTATCGCGATCGGCTCGTCCTTTTCGTAACGAGAGGCTGTGTTTATCTCCGCGATTCGCCGCGCCGACCTCGGACCACCCCGCGGCGAGCACCGCGAAAACTGGTTCCCCTCTGAATGAGTAAATACGGGACGCAACGCGGGCAGGCAGCAGCTGGTTAGTACGTATCGAGATAAGCGTGCAACACGCGAGCAAGGATTCGGTAAGTTGTAGCACGGTGAGCAACGGGAGAAGGAGAGAGAGAGTCGATCAAGCCGGCGGGCAAATTAAACTCAATCGCCCCGCGAGAACGAACTCGGCCTTACCATCATCGTCGCTCTCTCTACGCGGATGTCAGGGCCGCGGGCGATCCTCCGAGACAAGCATCTCGGGATTTTTGCGGCTATTGAAAATTTATATTCACAGACCGATCCTTTCGGAGGCTCTCGAGCGAGGCCGAAACGCCCGAGAGACATTTACATTGCAATTTGCGTCGTTAACTTGTAATCTCTCCGAATACGGTCTTGTTGAACACTACTTACTTGCGCGTCTTTAATCCGGGAATAGTCTTTTCTGACCCCAGGTGATTGTGTAACGAGAGTATCGCGAAGATAAGTTTGAATGAAGTATTACGTGTACCCACAGCCGGTAAACATTAAGCAATATTTACATTACGTCTGATACTGACCGGTAAAAATGTCCAGAGAAATAGGCAAAGGTGCAATTATGAAATATCTAATATTTCGATTTATTGTTTACAATTAACACGTACAGTTGGTTAGCAAAAGAATGAACATATCGAGCAGCCGGCCGCATTTCTCACGAGATCACGCTGAGGGGGAAGCGGGGTGCGCAAATATACTTCCTCTCGCCCGTTTCCCATCTGTCATGTCGCGACAATGCGCGACGCACTCGCTCGCTCGTGCAATAATTAAGAAATTCTCGGGCCGCCATTAATCCAGGCAGACGCGATACATGCCGATGACGTACCACCACCGGCTAACAAATGCCTGGGGTGGCTCGCCGGTACGCATTCATCGTTACATATCACGTGTTGTTGCTGCGCGCACCTGCGTGCAAATCTTGCCGCGGTCTTGCGATCGCCAGAGGCGCGCGCGCGACATAAAAACGCGACTAACATCGTTACGTTCCTCCCGTGTATCCATTAGCATATCCGATTACGATTCGCGATCTCCCCCCCGCGTGTGTGCATGGAACGAGATAATTAGAAAAGATTGCGCGCTCGTTTCGCACGCGGGAGTCGAGCGGGCAACAACAACAACACTTCGAGAGCACCCCACCGAGGATGTTGCGGGGGAAGGTTTTTCTGCTTTATTTCTGCGCGCGCGCGCGCGCTCGTACATAAAGCTGTAATTTCCGTTTGATGAATATCGCCGACGCAAAAAAACGTTGCGCTCACGAGTCTTAATCGGCGCCCTCGCCGCTCCACATTGTAACCCGCGCGATCGCCCCCCGCGATACGACGAGTCGGAACCTCGAAGTCGCGCGAGAACCCTTTCCGAATCGTTTTCAAGCTTTGGACGCGAATGAAATCTTGCCATGATGGTATCGCTCTTTCCGAAAAAAAGAATCATGCATTATTATTGATTAGAGGGGAACCGACATACCGTTTTGTTTTCGGGTTCTAAAGCACCGCATTGCTTTCGTCGAAGGGAAGAGACATAACGCTCTCGTGACACGATCCTCTTGTTCCTCCTGAGGCAGCTCTCGAGCGCGCCGGGCACCGACCGATAAAATCTCTCACGGTGAGCCGCGGACACGGAGATCCTCGTTTAGAAAGAAAAATCTGGTAGCCGTGCTGTGTTACCGGATTGGCCGATCGAGATTAGGGAGGCGAGGATCCCTCGGAGCAGAACGGTCTCATTATTTCGTGGCAGCCGGCTTCCAGCCGAAGATCATTACGCCGCTGTAATGATGATTAATGACGGTGTTACTCGCTTTATATCGCTTTGGGGAACATTGTGTGCAAAGCGCCGCGCACGTAACATTCTTTCCGCGGCAAATCGCGAGCGAATAAATTAATGTCTTAATTGCACGTGATTAGTGCGATTATCTGTCTGCTGCTGCTGCTGTTATCTGTGTGGAATTACGATCGTAATGCTCGCTGCGTGAAGCGTCGGACTGAAAACGGAAGCTGCTGGCGCACCTGAGTGCGAAATTTCGACGCCACTTGGACGCTTCTAAGGATAGCTTGCGCGCTTATTTAGACCGGCTAATAAAAACCTATTTTGACGATACCGACATTCATTGACTTCTTTCTTAAACTTTTAATTCTACGGATTTCATTCTAATTTCCAATTCTACAAGTTTCTTCTTCTTAATTCTTCTATATGATTTCGTTCCACAGATTTCATTTTAGTGCTACCTTGAAGCATGTGAATGCTCTCAATATTTCGATTGTTAAATTTGTACGAGCGTTCGAATATTAGAAAAAAGTGCTACATTGAAGTAAATACTTGCTAAGGAGTATCAGAATAATTATCTTATTTATTTTTACGTTACTTATATTTTATTTTACTTTGGTTGGATTAAGCGAATATTACTTGAGTGTAGCACATTGAAAGATGAGAAGAAAAAGAGACAGACTGTCCTTGTTGAACTCACGGATGATCTTCTTTAAGAACGAATCGTCGTGCTCTCGGTCGCATTAGTTCCCTTCGCGACGATGCATTCCGAGCAGCGCTACCGAGAAGTCAGACATGCGGACCTTTTTGTTTACCGTCCACGAACCGCGTCGCATCGTCATAACGTAATTGGCGGAACAAGCGCAACGAGGCCCAGAGATTGATGAGTCTCCTCCTTTTCTTTGAGATTCGTCAGAACCTTCGGCACTGCGCGCGACTCGCGTTCAACAACGCGTTCGACGACTTCGCCGCACGTAACGAGCGCAATTTGTAGAATTTTTTCAGAACGATCGCAAAACCTTCGTCGGATGCTGAAGCGACAAGTGCCGTTGATGGCTATTTTGCGAGTTTGAACGAAAGTTATTATACCGAGGGAATGAAAGGTCTGAAAAAACCTTGGGTCAAGTGTGTTGAGTCGAAGGGGGACTATGTTGAGAAATAAATTTCAATGTTCTTTTCTCAGTCAAGTCGGAAGCTTTTCAATCTATCCTCCGAAAAAGAGCCTTTGCTTTCCCCTCCCTCCATCTACTATTAATATAATCATATTTATTAGTGCCACGTATGTCGCTACCTCCGGGCGACGTCAAGCATTTTTGTCTGTCCGTCCGTTATCAGCTTTCAGCTACTCGGTCTTTTTGTGTGCACACGCTCAATCCCAAATGGCTACCTAGCTTTTTCACGAGCGAGAAACCACTTAAGGGTTAAAGAAAACGGGACGTGGGACCGGAGCGCTCTCTTAATCGCGGCACTCTGCGGCCGCGCGGAGTATTATTATGTGGTCAGCCTATTAGGGACTCGCATTATCAGCCCCCGTCGTGAGTAGGTGCCTTCCCTGTCCGTCGCGTTCGACAAAGCTTGACGATTGATCGCGCATCCTCGAGTAAATGTTTCTCAAATAACGGCTACGAATAGATTTTACGATGACATGTGCTCGTTAAGCAAACGATAAAGCGTGGCAGGCTTCGACAGTCAATCAATCTTATTTCTCTCTCTCTCTCTCTCTCTGATTATGTCAATGATAACCCAGTGATAAATTGCAAGAATTACACGGAGAAAATAAATTCACCGGAACAGCAAATTGTTTGTTGGAGAACAACCGTAATGGAGAATAAAAATTGGTTTTTTATAAAATGCCGGAGGGAGGAGAAACGAGATACATTATTCATCTGCCAGGCCGATACTTGAAATTTGTGCTCGAATGGCCCCTAATACCACGAATTATCTCGCCTCGTAATTTACTCGTGGTCGTTTATCGCGCTCATTTCGCCGGAATTACATATAGGTTTGTGGTTTCTCTCTCTCTCTCCGCGGTCGTGCGGCGCTTTTGCAGTGGTTTCGCAACGATCCTCCACGTAATCGGGGAGCATTAAGCGGCAGTGGCGGTGGTGGTTAGGACCGAGCGCGAGAACTCGAGGAGGCAGGAAGACGGCACCAGCCTCTCTCTTTCTCTCCACCGTCAAATCGTCACCGCACGGCACGCGTCGTCGTCTCGCGAGCGTCCCGCGCACAGCCGGCGCATAGCGGCTCGACAGGATCCACCTGTCGATGAAAAGTATCGAGGTTCCTCTCTCTGCGGCCGGTCTTTCCCCTTGGTTCACTTATCGCGCAACCACTGAGAGAGAGAGACGAACGTTCGCGAGTGCTCGATGTAACCGTCGTTGAACAAATAACCTGTTACGTCGTAACAGTTTCTTCTCGCCGTACAGGGTGACCATTGGGAAGTTGCTGAAAGTAAATATTTATAGCTTTCTTCTATCTGTCCGACGAAGGTTAATACGAGTGTAATTGTGTGCTGCAAACTCGTCAGTTTTATTTCAGTCATTGTGGAAAGCAGTTTACGAAAAGAAACATGAGCGAGCTAGCTTACCGTCGAAGAGAAGGTATATCTCGTCTCGAGTACTATTATGGAAAAGAAAGGATTCACGCAAATGCATACCGCGAATTCCGTACGAAATGTGGATTGAAACGAGTTGCAAGTCACGGTCAGACGTTCGGACGGTCGTCATTTTGGAAACATACATCACTAAATCACACCTACAGCCGATTTTTCACTCTTTTCTATTACGTTTATTTTTATACATTTACAAAAATATATTTCGTTTTGCACTTCACGCGGCAGTAAAAGTGACGGGTCTTATTTACAAAATAGCGTTCAATTCGCTTCATTTTGTCCACTAGTTACAAAGTAGCGGCTATTTGGTTTCAGCAACTTCTTAATGGTCACCCTGTATAATTCCCCGGTCTCGTTAGCGGCCCTTGTATGCTCTTCGTCTTCCTCCGCTTCTCTCTCTCTCTCTCTCTATCGGAATACGTTGTCCGGCCGTTGAGCAGCTACCTATCGGCGATCGAAAGCGCAATCCGCCGGACACGGCTCGCGTCGTGTATTTATACGGTATGCGATTTTGTGCACACGTGGAACGCGTTATGTTTCTCCTTTTTCCTGCTATCCTTCGATCTCGAAATATTTTTCACTTATCTTCGCATTCTAGAGATAAAAGGGGGAGGAGGGGAGGATTAATTTAATGAAGACGAAGTAATTAATAAACGTCCGGTGGCCTCGGGCGTATCGCCTGTGTTAAGGTTTCTTGATACCGCCGTCCTAATGGCTTTCATTACGGCGATGTGATTCGTCGAGTATAAAATGTAATCGTCGTTCATACCGAGGAGGAGGATGCCTCGTTATTTTTTGTCAGTCTAGTCTCTCGCGATTATCTAACGTCCTGGGCATCGTAAAGTTTCGTCCTGCGCGCGGAATCGTTATATACGGCGGCCTCAGCAATTGATGAATTCAGATTTCCAGATAAATCGACAATGAATTTATTTCTCGGTCTCATCCGCGTGCTCTCTCTTTTGATGTGCCATTTAGAATTATTAATGTTGCGCTTACGCGCAATTACGCGATGCGACTTGATGCGCTCTTCCGCACGCTTTGTCGTCTATCGTTTTTCCTAAATCGAAGGAAATCCTCGGGGAAAATGGAAACTAAAATATTATTATCAGTGTCTTTAGTTTTATTCATCTCTCTCTCTCTTTCTATATATATATATATATNATATTTTTCCGCTCAATTGTGATTTTAACACAGGAAATAGTCACCTTATTTTTTTTTTTACATAAACTATCACCACGGGTCATTTAGACCCCAATTAAAAATCGCTATAACGAAGTGATTGATTGGCTATATCGGAGTCCGGCAGAGTGGTTGAAGAGGATAAAGACGCGCAGTACATTTCAGAGGAGGATTTCTCCTGCATTATTTAAATATCAAACGACGACGTTCGTTCCGCGTTACCAAAAACGTCGAGCGATTGAACGCGTAGGTCGAAAGCGAAGAAACATTAGGCGAGATTACCGAAGGTGGAGAAACTTACATGCAAACGCCGGACGATCTCGCGTCCGATGACGTTTGCGAGGCGGTTGCTGCTGCCTGCCTGCGGCCTTAAAAAAGCCGAAAAAGATTAGCGGGCGCGGTTAACCGCGAGGGAACGTGACGAATTTACGCGCCACTCCTGACAGTTCGATTTCGCCAGTCACCTAAGTTCGATCGGAATGATGCGGCGAAAATAATAATAATAACAATAATAATCGCTGTCCGTGTATACCGGGTGTGCAGCTGTGAGCTGAGTGGATATTTCGGTGGTAATTCCATACCCAGCAGACGAGCGCCGTGATCGCGCTCGCTTTTCGACACGACGAATAAACCTTCGCGCCAACCTTGAAATCCTGATGTCGCGACGATAACAACTCGTTCGACGTTAAGATCGTGCTTCCATATTTACAACTCGTTACTTTATATTTGATATATAATTATGTGTGTGTTTTTCATGCCGCTATTCATAAATATTACGATCGATTTTCCGCGCGGTAAATGTGGCTCTCTTGTAGTTCTTGATTTGCTCGTTCCAACGTAATCTTTCATCGTTTCTAAAGAGGAGACGGCACACATCTAACGCGGAGATCGACCAGAGTGCGCAATTAACGATCTAGAATCGTCATTCGCATCGTAGACGAGCTCGATAATGGCTTTACGTCCTCATTAATGGACTTTTCGCAATATCTTCACTTCAGGCACAATGAACGTTAATGTCCCATACCGCAAGTGTGATTGGACGCGAGCCACTATGATTTACACCCACTGTGCAACGCGATTTCCATTTACATTCGAACATTCGCCGTACTCGGGACATTTTATTGCAAGGATCTGCGTGCGAAAACGCCGCGGCGACGGCGGACCGTTGTTTAACCAACGCGCGCGTAGGCTGGGTTTTTCTTCCTAGAATCC